GAACATTTTTGCATTTAGATACAGGAGAACTTTCCCTGTTGAATATTAAAAACAAATGAAAAAACACAAAAATCTGGATTTTCATGTCTGCCATGCAAATCAACTGTTCCTGCTCATCTCCAGATTGTATCTCTTCTCTCCACTTTCCCTAATTGCAGATTCATTTATTAGATCTGTCAGCATTAAAGGGTTCATATGATGCGATTTCAAGTTTTCCTTTCTCTTTGGAGCGTTACAAGCTCTTGGTGCATAAAGAAGATCTGTAAAGTTGCAAAGACTAAAGTCTCAAATCCAAAGAGATATTCTTTATAAAAGTTAAAAGTCAACCACGCCTACCTAAAACGGCTCATTCTAACACGCCCCCACATATCTACGTCACTGTGGAAATATTAGCATAATGCCACCCAAATGTGCACGCAAAGAAAGAAGGTGTGGTTTCAGGAACAGCAGTCGTGTTGATGCAGCCATGTCAGAGAGACGCTGTGTGATTCAGTACGAAAGCAAAAGCACTTTATTTGGCCTTCTGGAAGTAGATGCAATTAGGAATCATTGGTTAAGATTTATTTACAACAGAACAGCACAACCCAGATGTTTGAATTTGTGCAACGCATTTTATGGACGACTTTTTTTTTTTTATTTTTTTAACCTAGAAGAGTACAAAGCTGGCTGTGCACAAAGATATTTCAAAACTTTGCTATGACAATCTTGCGCTTCTGAATCAGCGACTGTAAGTATGTTTTGTTATTAGTTTAAGTATTTGCTATTGACTGTTCAACTGCAGAGTTTTGCCCAGCGCAGAGTAACGCGTTGTGTGTGTGTGTGTGAGGGGAACAGGGTCACATCACAGGAGAGTGAACTGCCTGTCAGAAATCATAGCACGTCAGCTGTCTTAACCGCGGCTTGTGTACTGCATCATCATCACTGTCTGTCACGTGACTATGTTGCCCTTTTGGGGCTTGAACTGATGGTAAAACTAACAACATTATTAACTGTCTTGATATTTACTTTGAAAGCTGAAGCTGCGATTATGGTAAGCAGGGCTCTACGCTTATTTTTCTTTTTAGGAGCACTTGTGCTCCTAACTTAAAAAATGTAGGAGCACAGACAAAAATTTAGGAGCACCTTCTAATCAATAATCCAAAATTTGATCAAAAATTTGCCTTCCCATTACGAGGTGATATTTGACTCAAAGTGATTTACAGTGGAATTTTGTTTTTACCTTTGTAATGGCTTTTTTCTATATTTATTAAAAGTGTCATCTTTTATGTCAAATGTTTAAAAAATTATATTTTATAAGCTTTTTAAAAATTCTAATTAAAACCACATAATAAGAACAAGTAGAATAAGAAGAATAAGTTACTAATCAAACGAAATCAGTATTAAAATTAATTTGTAGAGGAGGCACAGAAGAACATAAAAGTGGCTTGTAGGTGTATTTTCAGACATTTAATGAGGATCAGAGGTGGCATGAGTGTAATTAAATCTATAAATTCAAGTTAAGAATCATGTTTTTTTTTTTATTATGAAAATAAAAATATTAATTGATTTAAAGAACTGAAAAGATACTTTAAAAATGAAACTAAATCCGCCAGCAGGTGGCGACAAGTCA